CCCGCCAGGAACGTCCCCTCCCCCTCAATGGCAAGCTCCGCCCACTTTCCAAAATGTGCAGAATACACACACAATCTTATAGATTCGCCATTTTCCCGAGTAGGCGGAGCTTGCAAAAGGGGCGGAGTCGCCCCACATCTCGTCCATAGGGACAAACTTCATTAACAGGTAAATACAAGTTGCTAACAGGTAAATACAAGTTACTTACGCAATGTATAAATCATGCAGGCTACTTTCAAACATTTTGCTTCCCCCCCCCTCCACATCTCCCCGACTCTCCCCTCAACGTAATACTATTATGGGGACGCTTATGATACGTTGAATAGAAAGAAGGAATCGAGGTTATGGTAACAGAGATGCCGTTCTTTCAGAACATTTTTATAGTCGCGCGGGTCGCGTCCGCGCGGCCGCCTCTGGGCTTGTTACACCTCTTTCGGAAAGCGCTCTCTGATCATTTTTCCAAGCCTAATCAACAATTGAAGCTTGATTCGTTTTCCACTCAATCTGATCGCTTGATCTCAAAAGGTAACCAGATGACACTCCGGGCAGTGCCCAAGCGAGGCGGCCGCGCAGAATTACAGCTGTCGGTGCACCCGACACTGCAATTGAGATAGCCTGTAGCCACTAATAATCTCCATTTCATAGCCTATCTTTGCAATTACTTTGTAATTGCAAAGATAGGCTATGAAGTGGAGATTATTAGACTATTTGTAATCATTCGTCCTTTTAGCCAATCGTCGGTCTTATAGTGGCCATACTAGTCGTACTATGTATTACTGGTATTCTATGCTCGATGTTCCTGGCACGATTCTGTTGTTGTTGTGCCAAACGTAATAAGGATGTGTATCATGTGAATACGTTACCATCATATAAAACAGTTGAACCGCTATATGTCGTCACACCACCTGGGTATGTTGTTTCTGGTGTAGTTTCAGATCCTGCATTATAAGCGCTAGCCACTACTTTAGGCGCCCGTTGATGCCGGATCAGATCTACTCGACACCATATTCCGGTAGTCCGTTACCGTATCCACCACCACCGGGTGCTAGTGTACCCGTAACGCCAACATCAACATATAGACATGGTGTAAATCATGAAACTCCCACGATGAAAAAGCCACATGTGAGTCTATTCCACAATTCGATCGATATATCGGTTTTTTGATTTTCGTGATATTTCAGCCGCGAAGTGAACCCGGCTCCATACGACGCGGTCCTGGATCAGAGTATTCTGCTCCCGGTGGCGTCTACGCCCCACCACAGCTTACACCGCCTATGATTCTGCCACCTACGGAGTTGTACGGAACAAGTACGGAGCATATCCTTACTGTATTACCGTGCTCCCTAATAACACAAATTACAGTACCTCGTGCCACGCTCATACCACGCAACGGACCAATGGCACCGATACAGGACCCAAAAGATCTCCCATTCCTTGATCCAAATCGAAAACAAGAAACACAAACAAGAGAAGAACTGATATATTAGGGCCTTCTTTCACAATGACACTAGTATTTCTTTGCCAGCCTAGCTCCGCCTTTATGGGTAAGATCACTTTACCCAGACTTACACATGGGTAAGGAAGAATTCCTAAGACTTTTTCCGGAGTTAAGCCACAATATGTGTGTGCGTGCGTGCGGTGGTGCTCAACGGCTTTCGTCCCCCGGTTTCGTAGAAAATCATTCCATAATATTATATTCCCACATCTTTTTGTTGAATCCCCCCCAATGATTTTCTGTATTTTTGAAAAAAATCTTTCTATTAAATTCCATACTGCCGGGTTCCATAGAGTATTTCGTTTTGCGTAAGCCATGTGACTACAGTAAACCATCTACATATACAGTAGGTTATGTT